TCCATGATGACCATTTTGAAAATACCCACAACATGTGACAATCAATATATTATTAGTAAGCATTAATAATACCATAATAGGATTTAACAAAATCAATTGAAAGAGTTCCATAACCTCGGAGCCTCTAGCCATCCCTGAGAATTCTTTAGAAAGACTAAATAGCCATTGAAGAGATAAAATCGAGACTTGCTTTCGTCACAAGTTGAAGATGCGATCGACCAAAACAATTAAAAAAAATAAAAAAATAATGAAAGAAAATAAATATAAAATACTAACCTGAAATACAGAAATAAAATAAAAGAACAAATAGGCATGGATAGAGGAATAAAGAGAGCATGAAGGTAAACAGATAATTAATTGAAACAGAGAAAGGAAACAGGAAAATTAAATAAAAAATAATTATTGAACGTAATAAAAATGAAAAATGAGAATTTCAAATAAAAAATAGTCAAAACTTAAAGACCAAATTAATAAGGGGAAAGCCTAACTAAAGCCGCAAAAGGGTCCAATTAATCCAAAAAGAAATTAAAATACAAAAAAAAAGGAAACTGCCTAGATAATAAAAGGAAATTGAAAGGAAGAAAAAAAAGTAATAAAAACCAAGACAATTGTAGGCTTAATTAACAGAATTAAAAACACCAGCGCAATGAATGGCTAGGTCCACCACCGACGGCCACCACCGCCTCGTCGGCGTCATATGAAGCAGAGTAGCGACTGCAAAGATGATTGCTATCAACGACAGATACCGATTCGCCGGAGCATTGATGGCCGAAAACAAGCCAACAAGCGGTCGTGGATCCAAGAAACCAAAGGCGATCCGAGGTGATAGACACACCAACGACCCCATCATATTCCTTCCTTCTACCAAGCCCATCTTCTCTTCATTCTAGTCCATAAATCGTAGCAATGTGATGGACTTTCCTTCTAGCAAGTCCACGTCCATCAAGAATGATCTCATTTGATCCTTGTATCGTCGTACTCGAACCTTCATCTTTGGACCACTAGAATTATATATTCTGCCAATTGATTTCACGTCAACAAACTCGTAGGTCTTGCTTGAAATGACCTTTTCTTCCACCTTGAATGCTTCCAAGCTCTCTTTAAACCTCTTAAATCGTCTCTTGAACCATGGTCCATGTAGATATCTAGTTTGATCTCGTGTGACGTCATGCGGGGTGAGCGGGGTCGCATCATTCCCTCCCTCTTGAAAAAGATTTGACCTCAAATCTTGTTGTGACATATAAATTCTCTCCCGTGACTTCATTATTTTCCTTCTTGACCATGCACCTTGAAAACTAAGATGATCCACAAACTCTTGGAGTCTTCGTCTTTCTCTAATATGAGCCTCTATGTATGTCACTTCATCCCCAATAACAAAATCAATGTGGTCAATAATCTCACCATAATCTTGCATATGAATTGACTTACATTGAAGAGGGTTTTGACCATGCTCATGAGCAGAATTGGGTGGTGTGGGAGTACTTGATGCGTTGATTATGCCTTGGGACGAAATTTGATGTTGTTGTACGGCTTCTCCCATGACAAAATCAACTTGAGTAGGTGATGACTCATTAATTGCTGGCTTCACATCTTCACTACGTGCTAGCATCAATGTCTTAGGCTCCAAGACACTAGTTTCAACTTTCTTCTGGCCCACGACACTAGCTTCCTTCTCTTGCTCCCTGTTTCGTTGTAATTGTAATTGGTCTTCATAGACTTCCTTGGGAGACAAGGGCTTCAACACGACCTTCTTTCCTTTATGCATCAATCGATATTTGTTGGAGACTCCATCATGTTGTGCACTTCGATCGAATTGCCATGGTCTTCCAAGTAGGACGTGTGTAGCTTGCATAGGTACTACGTCGCACAGAACTTCGTCCTTATATCCTCCAATGGCAAATTTCAGAAGAGTTTGCCTCGCCACTTTAATTGAACCATCCTCGTTGAGCCATTGAAGCTTGTAGGGTTTGGGATGCTTGATTGTGCTCAATCCCAGTTTGCTAACCGCTATGGTACTGATAGCGTTAGTGCAACTTCCGCCATCAATCACCACGGCGAGCAGCTTCCCATCCACTACACATCTCGTGTGAAACAGGTTCTCCCTTTGCTTGAGGTCTTCTTTGGGTTGCACGCTTAGCATTCTTCTTGTGACAAGCAAACTTCCAGGAGGGGGCTCCATTTCTATTTATTCGTCAACTTCAGATTCTGATGGCTCCCTCGCGGGCTCCTCTTCTTCAGAATCCGAGACATATTCTCCATTCTCTAGTAGGACTAGAGCTCTTCGATTAGGGCATTGGTTGGCCATATGCCCTCTTCCATGACATTTGAAGCATTGAATGCCTCCACTAGAGCATGTGGGCTTGTCTCTTGGTGCTTCAACCTTGGCTGCCTGTGTTGATGCTTCTAGCTTCGTTATGGCTGGCCTAGGGTTTGAAGTTGAAGGCGTTCCTTGTCTTTGTGATGCTTGTGGTGGCGTGAATCTCCTCCCAACGTTACTACGTTGTTGTTTCTCCACTTTGGCTGCTATTGCAACCAAATCGTATAGATCCGCATAGGGGTGAAGTTCCACCACATTTCTAATTTCTCGATTTAGCCCATATAAGAATCGTGCAATGGTAGCATCACGATCTTCCTCCAAATCCGCTCGAATCATTAGCATCTCCATCTCGCGGTAATAATCCTCTACACTCTTGGTACCTTGGCGCAGAAGTTGTAGGGCTTGATGCATCTCTCTACGATGAGAACTAGGCACAAATCGATCCCGCATTACAGTTCTCATCTCTGCCCATGTCTCAATAGGTGGCTGCCTATTCTTCCTCCTCCTCATGCTTACTTGATCCCACCACACAATGGCATAATCCGTAAACTCGAGTGCAGCCACTTGTACTTTCTTCCTCTCAGAATAGTTGTTATAATCAAAAATCAATTCCATCTTTCGTTCCCAATCTAGGTAAGCCTCGGGATTAGTAGAACCTCTGAACGATGGTATGTTGACCTTAATATTCCTCAAATCATCATCTTCATCTCGAGGGTAACCCTCATCATCCTCATATTCGACCTCTTCATCACGAGGCTGGCCTCGTCTTGCATGTAGTCCACCCATTGGCCGATGTCGCCTAGCATGTTCGAACACGGGTCGTTGTACCACCCTTCTCTCTCCACGATCTTCTTCTTCCCTCCTAGCCCTTTCAACAGCAACATTAGGGTTAGGGTTTGGTGGTGCTTGCATCCGTGTTTCCCAAGCTTCCATTCTTGTATTTTGAGCTTGTAGCGTCGCTTGAATCTCCCTCTGGCTGGTGGTATGTGCTTGAAGTAACGCTTGGATTTGATCAGTCAATGCCTTGATCTCGTCTCCCATATTTGCGGCACTAATTACTCCTTCAAGATAGCTCGCAAGAACCTTCAAGAACGTAAAGACTCCTCCAAGATCCTTTACGATGACGTCAAAATCTTCAAGAACACGACAAGATTGCCAAAGAACCTTCTTCTCCGCTGCGTTTGAACCGGGCTCTTGATACCACTTGATGTGATCAAAGTACGCAGCTTTCCTACTTTTTATGGGTTTTCGAAGCTTTTCTCCAACGAACAAGAACTCGAACAAAAGATAATGATGGAACACGATCAAACAGATTCCAACTCGTGTGAAAGGCCAATTGGTATATGAAACCAATCAAACAATCACCCACTCGTGAATAAGGCCAATCGCTATTGGGTAGAAGCTCGCCACAACTAGACGCGTTCTCTAGTTGATAAGAGACACGTGAAACTCCTGGAGCACTCTCAACAGAAGCTTGCACAAAGAACTAGTTCGTATGAACTTGTAACTTGAAAGTTGATTGATAATTGAATGAGTTACAATGAGGAACTCAGCCTCTTATTTATAGACTAGCTAACACAAATCCAAAGCTTAAAATGAAAAAACAAATCCTATAAGTAAAAGGAAAAAACACAATCCTTAAAAGACAAGTAAAAGGAAAACACAATCCTTAAAAGACAAGTAAAAGACTTGGTCAACAACTCCCTAGATTCTAGCCTTGCAATCCTCCCTCACATGGCTTGTGTTCACACCTGATATTCCTTTCACACTTGTACTCCTTTTCACACCTTGTGTTCACACCATGGGAGATCTTCCTTCCTTCTACCAAGCCCATCTTCTCTTCATTCTAGTCCATAAATCGTAGCAATGTGATGGACTTTCCTTCTAGCAAGTCCACGTCCATCAAGAATGATCCCATTTGATCCTTGTATCGTCGTACTCGGACCTTCATCTTTGGACCACTAGAATTATATATTCTGCCAATTGATTTCACGTCAACAAACTCGTAGGTCTTGCTTGAAATGACCTTTTCTTCCACCTTGAATGCTTCCAAGCTCTCTTTAAACCTCTTAAATCGTCTCTTGAACCATGGTCCATGTAGATATCTAGTTTGAGCTCGTGTGACGTCATGCGGGGTGAGCGGGGTCGCATCACTTTGTAAAAATGATCAAACATGCCTTTTGTTTAAATTTTCATCCAAAAACCGTTAACCAAGGTCGAACTTTGGTTTGGGCGGCACAAATGTCTAAAATATCCCTAATCATTTCACTTTTAATTTTTTTTTTGTCCTTTGTATAGCCAAATAATTCAAATAAATTCACTTTGAAGAGACCCAGAGAAATACAACGGGAGATAAAACTGACATTTTCTCTCCCACTTGCCGATGTCGGGCCGTCTAAATCTCGGTTCAACCATGATTGAAGATTTTTTCAATGAAAATTTTAATAGAAGGGCATGTTTGATAATTTTTTCATAGTACAAGGGCATGTTTGATATAAAAAATAGTAAAGGGGCATGTTAGATAAAACGTCATAGTAAAGGGGCATATTTTAAAAAACATAAGATGCAGCAGTGAAATCACGGCCCAACGGCCTGGGCCTTTTATTTATCATTCACAACGGGCCGGATCGTCTCTCTGTAGATATTTAGGCGGCAAAATCAACGAGAACCTCAGAAAAAACAGCAATCTCGTTTACTCAAACACCGATTCCGTTCCCGTGGCCAGCAATTATCGAACTCTCCCAATCCCCAGCCTCAAGTTCCCATTTCCTTGCTTCTCCATACGTCTACGATTTCTCCACGGCCCCGGCTACAGTAGAAGCAAGCTTCTCCTCGGCCCATGGCCGGCACGTGCTTCTCCACCGCGCGTCACGCCTTCGGTTCCGCCGCCGTGGACCCGCCTTCTAGGGCTGCCTTCCGGGCCGGAGCTTCATCGCTGCTCCGGATTTCTGCTGGGAGCGACGGAGTGATGGCGACACGCGGCAACTCTGAGGGACCGTCTTGCATTTACGTCGGCCCTATTGAGACCGCCAGCAAAGAAACCCTCGAAGCTCTGTACCGTCAAGTGAGGTTTTCCGATTTCTTGATATTTTCTTTTCTAGGCTCTAGTTTGTTTGCGCAAGAAATTGGTGCTGAATGGAAAAGATGAGAAGCTCACGTTGCGTTTGCTGAATTTGAATTCTGTTGATTATTGGTTTGTAGGCAAGGGATGCGTATTACAGTGGCTCGCCTTTGATAGTGGATGACATGTTTGATAGAGTAGAGGTATCTTATCTTCCCATGGTTGAACTTCAATTAGCTGATTCAATGTTTAGAATTGAAATTTTTATGTGGGGGGTTTGATTCTCGTGCTCACGCCTAGTGAAATGACTTTCCACAGATGAAGCTCCGGTGGTACGGTTCGAAATCCGTTGTCAAGTATCCTCGTTGCAGCCTCAGACGGCAATCGACTTACTCGGATGGTGAGGTAATTTCCAGTTTTCATCACTACATAGGCTCAAGGTCATTCACTATCATCTACCTACTGATGCTGGAAAATATTAGTAGAAAACAAGGTCTTGATAGGTAGGATGAGGAAGAACCGCGTATAGTTGGTGATATTCTGATAGGTTTCACATGTCCTTTCCATGACAAGAGGTTAGCTTAGAACTGGATGTTTGATCAGTGCACCCAGTTTAAGAAATGGGTACTTTCATCTCTGCACAAATAGAACTAGTTGCTCAAGAAAAATCGCCTTACTTCCATCACTATGTGGTTCTAGTATGGTGAGTTATGGTTTAGTCCCTTATCTGGACTTGAAGATTGATTGATATGGATGTAGGGCAGGAAGATATCTCACAGGCCTTTGCATTAGCAAGCATATGGATCCTGTTTCTCACTGTGGGAAGCTGTATCTGTGTTGGACCCATACTCTACGCGATCGGAATAGCTTATCAAGATGCATTTGGTCCCCCAATTTCAAATGGCGGTCAGCATGATGTGATAAAGTTCCTTTCTTCAGCGAATTTTGTTCTCTTCACGGCTGTGGGATATCTAGTTGGCTACCCTATAGCATCTGCATCAGGTAAGGCTTCCATATTTGCCACGTTGAAATAAGTGACTATTGGAGATCATTAGTTCTGAATCTGCATGAATTTGCTGGCTGAAATTGTGAGCTGCAGTGTTTTGGTGAATTCAAACTTCATTGATATTTTGCTTACTGGTCATGGTTGCTTTGCAGTTTGTGCTAGTTCCTTGCTGGGTTACCTACTCATATTTACAAAATGAATCCTGACATTAGAGTTTTTTGCAGTTAAAGTGCTTCAAGGCCTTTGGAGGAATGACTTGGTGGCACTCAAGGGAGCATGCCCTAATTGCGGTGAAGAGGTCAGTTTAGCAAACATTTAGGACAATTTAAGCAACAAGAAGATTTTCATTCCAAATTTTTGTCAGTAACTCTCTCCTTTCGCGTGTGTCTATATGAAAGGTGTTTGCATTTGTGAAGTCAAATGTGACCGAGGACAACCCACATCGGGCAAATTGCCATGTCTGTGAAAGCTTGCTAGAGTTCCGCACAAAGGTTGAGGTAATATAAGTAACTTTTTTAATTGATAGAGATTCATCATTGTCATTGCTTTTATTGACCAAATGTAAATCAAGAATCAATAGGAGGATTCACAGTAGGCTAGTTCTAACGTGGATGTTTATCATGATTGTGCAGCAAACTGTGCCAAGACTTGGTAGACAGTGGGTCTATGGTCGGATATACCTTGCATCAAGAAGGCCAAGGAGATGGAACAGGATATCAAGTTAGTTATCTTGATTTATTGTAACAATGTACATAATGAACTACTATTCCCAATGCCCCCATTTTCCCGCCGCTGTAACTGTATGGTCTGGTGTATTGGAGGAATAAGACGATTGGACTTGGATGGCTTTGCATTGTTACTTAATTATGAATCTGAAGAGTCGGCTGTTGCCTGTTGGTAAGTTAGTTTGATCTCAAAACCTCAGGACCAGAAGATCGCGAACGAACATTGGCTCTCTGGCCGTTCTTCACTGCCTCAACTGATATGGCTGTTCATCGTACAATTGTTTGAGCGGCTTAGAATCAGGGCAGTGAAGGAATCATATGATGCATCCTCTATCCTGTAGTTCACGTTTCTGCACTGACATAAAAGACCATCAATGAAATTGCAATGAACATGTGGTTTTGTAGTTGCAGAAAAGGAGATAGGTCGGCAGGTATCTCATGACTTTCACTACCGAAAATCTTTCCTCAACAAACCTAAACCTGAAAGATTATTGTATGCACCCAACAAACAGAACTGTTGCTACATCTTTGTGTAGCTAGTGGGACATTTAAGAAGCAGCGGTCCGTTATAACATCTCTCCTGAACAAACAAGGCCAGCATTAAACCATGCCCCAGTTAAATCAAAAACGTTTTCACAAAAGCAATTAACAGATGACATGGGCTTCTGAAAAGATTTCTCGTTGTTTCCAGGCCACAAACGGCAGACGAACCCTTGACCAAGCATCTGAAAGAAACACTGCACTCCTTAGACGAAAGGCAGCCACACTGCTCCGGCACTCCCAGAATCAGAAGTGAGCCAGACTGTAAACTAGAGTCCAAGAGAGCTGAAGAGAGGAACAAATTGTGTCAGTTACAATGACAAAACAGAAGAGGGTGGGGGGGAATGAATTTGATGAAGACGAGTCTGATTACCAGGAATACTGTAATTGAAGCAAAGAGACCCTCTTGGAGGAGTGCTCCATGCCCGCCGTAGTCTTCTTCATCTACTTTTAAGATCAGTGCGTAGTATCCATATATGATTCCAGAGGATATCAAAAGAAAACTGCAAACAGGGATTACCATGAAAAGGGAAATTCAAAAGACAGCAACAAATTCTTTATATCTGACGTTCATAAATGTTCAATGACCCGGCCGCGGAGGCATATACAACCTAATATAGATTTATGCATAATCCAGATGCAGATAGCTGATGCAACCAATTGTAGTTTTACTGGGAAATATACTTGAGCTGGAAATTCCCAATCCCCAAACTACTAGCATGGATATGCAAGAATACAGAGTAGAGTAAACCAGGGCCCTCGTGTTTTTAGTTTAGCCCTACATCTCTCCCAAAAATAGAAACTCTAACTGTGGCTTTTCTACGTCCCTCGTACCCTATTCAGTTACCCTGAGAGGATTAGATGAGCCGGTGAGAAATAGTCTCAAAAGGAAATCTCTAAGGACCAACTTGAAAGGAATTATGTTAAAGGATGTTATTGTCCCACTAACTTGGAAATTAGTTTAGCATCCTTACATCCATATGCTGATACCTATCTTAAAATTATTCTTTTAGAAGAATATCTGTCAGGTGCATGGGCCTCATGGAACTCTTGCAAGAATTACTTGAACAATTCATCCGTTAAAACGCGAAAGAAAAGCTCATCGAAGATTCTCTAGTAAAGATTTCCCAAGATAATTGCCGTAGAAAAATCTGCTGCAGCTAGTTATTTTTGTCCACATTTTGATGCATGAAGGATCAGTCTATCCCTCATACCATTAGCCTAGAGCCGATAAAGCACTGAAGCCAAAATTTCCATACTCACCAGATGTAGTGGATGAAAGATCCAATCCACCCCTGAACTGGATGGTTTGTTTGCAACCACTAACAAAATAAATAGTTTCAACTTCCCCTAAATCATTATCTTAACTGATTATATACTTATATCATCATCTGAAAATCGACTAGAGACAGCAAGCCCTCTGCACGGAAAACTTGTACAGTTATGACTAACTCAAGCCAACGAGGTAAACTGTGCTGGTAAATTATATGGAGAGTAAAGGAACCATGTTCTTGGGTTAAATAAAGCGTGGAGAAGGCAATCCTAAAAGGAAGCTTTGGATTGGGAATCGCCTACACCAAACCACAAACTGAATGGACAGTTTCACCCACATCCATGCACTTGGAATTGGAACAACTCAGTTTGATGCTCACTAAAGTGAAGGTACTAGAGGAATTAACCAAGGATAAAAACAATGTCCAACTTACATGCCAATCCACAGACCGCCTACAACAGGTACGGCACCCCACACCAATCCGCACAACAGTGCCACCACCTGTCGAATCCAGTGCAGCACATCTCCTAATTGATCCTACAAAGACGACAACTTTAAGCAATCAGAAACCTCCAATTCCACTTCAGTGCCAATTGAGTAACCAGAGTAGTACATCCATAAATGGGATTCAAGGGCAACCCCAAAATTGTAGCGACCACGCTCGAGAAGAAAGCTAAAGTAGCCAGTTGAAGTTAGTAAGAACCAATTAACCCGTGGTTATTGTCATGCAGCGGTAGCTAAGAACTCAATAGAGGATCTGGATGGAGAACTTGCCTTGTCCCAAGAAGCCTCGGGATCCAACAACTTGGCGAACTTGAAAGGAGACAAATGACCGTTTTGATGTTGCTGTTGCTGCAATGGCTGCTCGAGCAGCTGCTGCTGCGCCTGGGCTGGCTGGCTACTCAATTTAACTGATTTGGCTTCTTTCATCGCTGGTTCAAACGCAAAAAATAGGGCAAGCAATTGAATGAATCTTGGTCGATGGAACGGTCGGAAGCGCGCGAAATCCCCAAATTCCTGAATCAGGGATTGGGAGACTGCGTCAACGATTGAACCACTCGGACTGCTTAGAACAGCGATGGGTAAGTTAGGGTTTGGAGAATGGATTTGAGAACGAGCGGCGAAGACAACAACGGAAGTGGAGCTCTGATCGGATTGAGTTGGGAATTACTTTTTTATGGAGGGGAAAAAGAAAAGGATCCAACTATTACTCTATTCTTTCCCGTGACAAGAATAGGAATTTTAAATCACTCGGACTCTCGGAGCGGAACACAAGTGATTTACCTTGTTACTAAAAGAAGTGAATTAGAGTTTAACTCGAATTCACTTATTAATAAAATGAATGATCCTAAAAATTACTAATTATCGTCCTAACTTAATATATAATTTATCGAATTATCATTTTAAATTTCAAAATCAAACACAAAACAAACAACTCCTCCCCTTTCCATAAATCTAAAAAATATATATAAACCAAAATCCAACAAATTATCTTATGAACCGAACCATAAATCGTAGTAAAAGAATAGAAAATTATTGATATAAACCAAACAAATCCAAAAAAAATTCCGAAACCCCTCAACCGAAGCCAATTTTCTGTTGTACGTACTACGATTTATGGTTCGGTTCATAAGATAATTTGTTGGATTTTGGTTTATATATTTTTTTTAGATTTATGGAAAGGGGAGGAGTTGTTTGTTTTGTGTTTGATTTTGAAATTTAAAATGATATTCGATAAATTATATATTAAGTTAGGACGATGATTAGTAATGGTACAACCGAAAATTGCCTTAGGTTGAGCCATGGTACAACCGAAAATTGCCTTAGGTTGAGGGGGTTTGGGTTTTTTTGGGGGAAAAAAATCGGATTTTTACCTCGTCGGTGTCACTACTCATGATTCGAACGTATTCCCAACGATTACGACTCAAGAATGTCAACAATGAATTCGAGAGTGTAAGAAATTTAGTGTTTTTCATTTTTTTTAATCGAAGTGATGTTTATTTGCTAAAGATTCCAAAAGGTTAAAAGGGTAACTTTGTTATTTTTTAGGACGAGCAATAGTAATTTTAAGGACGACGTTTATCAATTCCCTTAATAAACTCACAAATTTTATTCGACCTTGTCTTTCATTAATTATCTCACATTCTTTTATATATATGCATGTATATATATATATGAGAAATTTTACAATACTATATAGTATTGGTGCTATAGGGTTTTGTCTTTATTGTACAACTTAAAATTATACATTTACGTTATAGTACAACTTCAAATTGTACCTATCTTTTTGTACAAATTCTTGGTACAACTCGAACTTGTACCTTTATGTGATGGTACAACTTCAAGTTGTAAAGTTGTACCATAACATAATGGTACAAATTGCTTTATGGTATAACCTAAACTTATACATTTAATGTTATGGTACAACTATATATATATATATATATATATATATATATATATATATATATATATATTATATATATATATATATATATATAATATATATATAATATATATATATATATATATGGCAAGTTCTACGGTACCCTGGGTGACATCCGGGGTACCGCATACCTTGAGTATGAAAACACTATCTAGACCTTGAATTGACCGATCTTTCGGATATGATACTATACTCTAACACTTAAAGATCAAAATCTATGTGTTAACTCTCCCAATCTTATACTCCAAGATCAATTTAATTAGAAACAATAATCGACGGTTATGATTCATCCAAATATAGGCACAAAAAGGAATGCACCATCTTAGGGTTTATAGATTATGATTTAGATAATTATGACCTACGGTTCACTCATTAAGGGTTAGGGTATAATATCAGACACAAAAATCCTGGTAATTCGAGGTCTAGATAGAGTTTACATACTCGAGGTATGCGGTACCCCGGATTTCACCCGGGGTACCATAGAAGCCACCATATATATATATATATGGCAAAGGCTAGCGTACGCCCGGACGTACCCTAGCCTACCGTACGCCCATTGAGTTTTGCTATTTAGACAGTGAATTAACCGGAGTTTGGGGCATGATACTATACCCTAACCCCTAATGGGTGAACCCCAGTCCGCAATTCACTAACCCAAAGCATAGTATTCATTTAATCTTGAAATGAAAATCAACGGTTCTGATTCGTCGAAATTATTGTTGATATTCATTTTAAGATTAAACGAATCTCATGATTTGAGTTAGAAAACTAGGGACTGGGGTTTATCCATTAGTGGTTAGGGTATAGTATCATGCCCAAAAATCCGGTTAATTCATGATCTAAATAGCAAAACTCAAACGGGCGTACGGTAGTCTAACGTACGCCCGGGCGTACGGTAGTCTAACGTACGCCCGGGCGTACGCTAGCCTGAACCATATATATATATATATATATATATGGTGACTTCTATCGTACCTTGGGTAAACTCTAGGGTACGACATACCTTGACTTGGAAAACGCTATCTAGACCTCGAATTAATCGGATTTTTAGGCATGATACTATACCCTAACCCTTGATAAGTGAATCCTAGGTTTTAGTTTTCTAAATCATATAGCCTAACCCCTAAGATTTTGCATGTAATTTGTTGCATATATTTCGACGAATCATAATCGTCGATTGTTATTTCTAATTAAATTGGTATTAGTGTCTGAGATTTATAGAATTAAGACCTAGATTTTAATCTTTAAGGGTTTGGAAATAGTACCAGATGTCAAACTCCTGTCAATTCGAGGTCTAGATAGAGTTTTTTTACTCATGGTATGTCGTACCCAGAATTTTACCCAAGGTACGATAGAACCACTCACATATATATATATATATATATAATCTCTCGTGAGCTTGATTCAAGCTCAAATATCATATTATTTACTATTTAGTTCATAAAAATTAACTGTTTCAATGTTATAATGTTTCATATAAAAATTAACTGTTTCATATTATGATGAATAATTTCTCTATTAAATTATAAATTAAACACATATGCTCACATGCTGCCTTCTATGGTACCCCTGGTGAAATTCGGGGTACCGCATACCTTGAGTACGAAAACGCTATCTAGACCTCGAATTAGCAGGATTTTTGGGCATGATACTAAATCCTAACCCTTAATGAGTGAACCCTAGATCCTAATTATCTAAATCATAAACTATAAACCCTAAGATGGTGCATTGATTTTTTACATATATTTGGACGAATCATAACTGTCGATTATTGTTTCCAATTAAATTGATCTTGGGGTATAAGATTTAGAGAATTAAGACCTAGATTTTGATCTTTAAGGGTTAGAGTATAGTATCATGTTCGAAAGATCAGTCAATTCAAGTTCTGGATAGCGTTTTCTTACTCAAGGTATGCGGTACCCCAGATTTCACCCTGGGTACCGTAGAACTCTCCATGCTCACATATATAATCATTAAATATTTATAATTTATATGCATAAGAAAAAAATTGGTGAGATATATAATCTAACAAACATATTAATTATCAACAAGTCAAATAATAAGTTAATAGATTGATTTAATCACAAGTCACTAGTTGAGATAGCTCGCTACCAATACTATGAGCCAACTCATGAGTTGAGCTCAACAAATACTTAGTGGAGCTGGCTCACTAGCCTTACAACAAGGCACAGTTCAACTTTGGCTCATTTACTAACAAGACAAGTGTCGAACGAGTTTTTTCGGTTTAAATACCAATCACTCGTGAGCAGCTCAGTTCATATATAGCCCTACCTACTAGCTGCTAGAGTTAGATCTTAGATAGGGAGACTGACACCGAGTTGGGAAGAAGAAGGTGAATATGTTTAACAAGAAACCGGTAGTGTGACTGAGCAACATAAGAGGATGTCGCTGCTAAATTGTGATCTTCATGTTTACAAACATGGTTCAAATATGAGTGATAATCGATCGGTAACTAGTTAGCTGGTTATCGATATACCAATTTGCGTCAAACAACCACAGGCTACCGGTACTGATTAACAGTCGGTATACCGGCTAACCGGTTAGCAATCCGGTAAGTGCGATCTCAACCCTTCTCTACCTTCCTCCTCCACCCACTCCATCAATTCGGCCACCAATCCTGAATCCCACTCCACCAATCCGGTAACTGTGATCACAATCCCGACCCTCCTCTCCCTTCCAACTCTTTCTTTATGATGTTGCTAACACGAGTCACTACTCTTTGATTCATCGATGAAGAAGTTGCTTGAGGTGGGGATTGGCAAGGTAGAAGACGGGCAGGGGCATGGATCAGTTTCCACTGATAGAGCACATAACAACCCCAACAAGGAAGAGATCCCAGCCTTCACTATTGGCGACTCTATTTTGTTATTCATCCTCTGATTCCGCCAAAGGGGAGAAAGGCGGTTCGGTGGTTCCTTGCTATAACTGAGAGAAGATGCTTGTGGAGAAGATAGAGCAGTGGAAGGAGGTGTCGAGGCGGAAGTATGTATGCACTCGATGGGGGAGATAAATCCGGCAGTGCCCCGTATTCGTGCGGGTATTATCTTCCCTGAGCTACAATAACATGGAGAGAGCATGAGTATTGAGGACTTCGTCCCGCCCCATTGCGATTAGGGTTAGAAGTTTGGTATCGATATTTGGGATATATCGAATACCATACAAAAATTTGTCAGCATTGGTATTACCGAATAACATGTTATTTTTTGGGATTGAGATTTGGATTGAATTTCAAGTATTATTCGGTATTAGAGATTACAGGATTAGGATCGGTATATACCGAAATACCGATCAATACCAAAATATAAGCTAGTGTATTTTTCCCTCTCAACTAGACTCTCTCATTCTCTACTACCATATCCTTAACCACCAAGAGTGTCAGTTAATTGTACATAACACATTCCCTCACTATTTGACAACTCATACCAAGCTTTTGTAGTATGTTTATGGGTTGCTTAGTCTTCCC